ATCAACACCCTTGGCGTCAATAGTAGCATCAGGATGAGGAGGAGGAAGAGGAGGATAAGTGGGCAAATGATGCTGATAGTAGCTTCATCAGTATCGTCGATTTCATTTTATTTCTCCATTCTGTCTCTCAATCTCTTGCTTCCTGGGTTCATATTTTGCGTCCCTGTTTGGCGCGCTTCCACCTTCTCTATGCTGTGTTGTGTTACGTGGTAATTCAAGAATCTTTGGGTTGAGGGAGTTGAAGGGGAGGGGCGTGTGTTTCCACGACTGGGCGTTCAAGGGGCAAACCTATCGAGTTAACACGTTTGGCGCTAAAGACGTGCTTTTGGTCATTCCATCACAATCGTCAACCCGTCCCTCAATAACTTGGTCGTGCGTTGGCCACAGAATTGACGTGCGAAATGCACAAACAAGTTGAGCCACATGCCAATATTTGCATAAATAAAACATTGAATAAAAGGTCAGTATTCTGTTATCTCAAGGTGAGTTTCTTGAATAGCTGGGCAAATGTGTGAAGAGTAGAAGGGGAAGGGACGTTTAGATGCCAACATTGTTACCTATGGCAATCTGACCGAAATGTATTCACAATGAGAAAGGAGCAGCACAAGGCTAAGCACGAGGCTGGCACAATCTTTCAGTGTGGTGTAAATAAATTCATTTAGGTTGAACCCCACTGCTGGCGTTGTGGTGCCTTCAGAGGAGGTGTGGCTGACCACGTGTCGCTTCAGCTGCTGCTCCTGCTAACCGATGCCACCTCTTGTCAACGTGGAGGATTTCAATCATCCGTGCGATGAGTGCGATGAGTGCGAAATCTCTCGCTGGTGTTCTTCGTGGAGTCGCTGCTTTTCTTTTCTTTTACGCCCTTCTCCCGCTTCGGTTCATACTCGCCTTTTTGAATCGTTCAGTTACGCCTATGTGGTGCAAACTCCGCTCTTCCGGAGGCGTGGAGAGGGCAGTGGAAGGATTAATCGAAGTTAGGGGTAAGTCTCACCACCTTCCTCTTTGCTTCCTTCTGCCTCACCAACCGGTGCTTAACATCTCGTATGATAGGCATTGTTGAGATGATCAACATGATGCAACATTTCCACACGCAGAGGGAGAGCACACAGAGTGCAATTTCTCAACCACCCAACGTGCCTCCCTTTTTGCCAGACTGAGTGCCTGACATGCCTTTCGCACTCCACACTCCAGCCCATCTTCGACCTCACCTCTTCTGCCTTGTTTCACACTCCTGTCGCATCGCCGTCGGTGAGAGTGAAGGTGAGCACCTCCATCCATCCATCCATCCATCCATCCCCTCCTTCCACTTACTCTCCCCACCTCATCACCACCATCATTTGTGCTGCCAACACACACTTTGCTCTGTGCGTACTTTGCTCCTTTTAGATACGTCCATCACGGATGCTGGTAGGGATGCGCCCTCCCATCGCCGCATTCCTCCTTCAATGCACTTTGTGTATGACCTCGTGCGGATGTGTGAGGGCACATTGAGCCGATTATGCACACTCTCGTCGCCTATACTTCTAACATCCAACTTCATGGTTCACACTGACCAATAGCAAGAACGTTCGCAGTCATTGCAATTGTTGCACTGCTTTTCTCAACCAACGAGTCTAGCTACTGAAGTTCGCTTCCTCTCTGTGCCCCTTTCATCAGACGAAGAAAAGCCAACTGATGGAGGTGGAGGAGGTGGAGTGAAAATAGTTTGCATCGCAGCCTAATGTGTATCAGCAAGACACGGAGATGTTGCCTCTACTAATCTTCTCCCATGGCGTATTTGCTCTGTGCATCCGTCGTCCAGTAATGCTTCAACACTGACTGGAATAAAGGTTGACACAATCGGCTGATCATATCTCATGTCAGACAAATGACTCCAATTATTTCAAATTCTATCGAAACGTCAAGAGAAATGTTCAAGGGGGAAATTACATGCTTGGTGCGGAAATGAATGATAAGAAAGTGGAGATAAATTACCATCAAATAATGCGAAGGGAAGCAGGAGCAGGAGCAGGAGCAGGAGGAGGAGGAGGAGGAGGACAACATGGAGATGTTGGCGATAGTAGGTGGGAAGCTGCTGCGGAGCGCGGTAGGCGTCAGAGCAGAAGCAAAATCAGTTGCTTGGAGGAGGATGAGGAGAATGAGGTAGTTGAGGAATTGCACTCTGTGTGCTCTCCCTCTGCGTGTGGAAATGCTGCATCATGTCGATCATCTCAA